CTGTTTGTGCAAATACGGTTTCTCTCGGAGAAATTGAGAAATTCTCCGACTCCGACATGCAGGTTAGCGATAGAATAGACAGCCCACGAACCTCAAAGCCTCATAATCTCCCTCAAGGATATTAAACACTACTACACGTCCGCTCATTGGACTCGATTTTTGGAATCAAGACTATAGTGTTGCACCGTTATCGAAGTCATCAACAGTGTCGTTTCTGTTTGCGTCAGCGGTCGTAGTTTAAAATAGACATTTATGAAAAGAAATAATATTTAATTTTGATTAACATAATAGGCAAAGAGGAGGAAGATGAAAACAAGATCTAAAAAGGAGTTGTTTTAGATTGCTAATTAATGTTCTAAAACCAAGTATGCATAAGCCAAAAGCCTGCGGAATCATAGTTTGTGGTGCAAACACCCTACTTCAAGGCGAAAAACGACACGCTGCCTACGTCATCACTGGTTCTTTGGATCTTTGGCGAGGTGAAGGGGTTGAGATTTGATCTACAAAGGCCTTATGAAGATAGGCTATTCTGTTTAGTGTGTAATATTCTTGAATCTTTTTCTCCAACCGTCTCAACTCCCAACCTCAAGCAACATCCGGTGATGCTGGGGAGGGGGGACTTGTGTATATACATATAGACAGATAGTAAAGTGTAATGCATCTGTTGCATTGTAGATCTGCAGATTTTCTGTTTCAGCTTTCTTTCAATAATGGTTTTTTTTTCTCCGGTTCAACTTACTTTCAAAGGTGGCATCCCTAATCGCAGCTGTTTTTATAAATTTTTTCTACGAGCGTGCGTAAAAGTGCACCTTTCCGCACGTTGAGGTCATGAAAGTATCACTTTTCCGCACTCAAGGCGAAAAAGTAGAATACCTGAAATTTTTGTATACATCAGGGTGTCCCAAAAAGATACCGACAAACTTTGAGGGGTAGTAAGGAACATCAAAACAAGCATTTTTGTTTATATAAACATATGTCCGCAAATGAGCCATTTGGGCTGCAGAGCAAAAAAACTGTTTGGTACTCTTATTCTTCGCAATAATTAAATCACTGTTTACCTACTTATTAATTTTGCTTTATTAACAAATAAATTATGGTTTCCTCTGAGGTTTACAATAATTATTCAAAATGTTGACCCGACGGTGCAATCTTTTCATTGAAGAAAAGATTGCACCGTCGGGACATTGACTGAAAAGTTTAGTCTACGAAACACCTGTTCGTAATGAGGAAGATCAGTTAGCAAGGATCTTAGAGAAGGAAAGAGAGGGGACTCGTATCACAGCAGGTGAAAATGAAGCAGTTTGCCACCAAAAAATGTCTGCTTTTTTCATAACATAACCTAGAAAGTATATTGTTTTTTGCCTGTTAAATGTAATCCCGTCGACTTTTTTTTCTCTGCGGGTTTTGCAGCCATATGCTAGCAATCCACCATGCTGAATATCACAAAAATGTTAGTCTGAAGTAAAATTCACATAGTGACACCATGAAAAATTGTCGCCATTATTTGGTGACAAACGGTCACAACCAGCTGCTAGTGCAGGTAAAACTGCTTTGACAGTTAACTTGAAGTTAACTTTTTGAATTACATGTAATTCCAGAAGTTAACTCACAAAGTAGTTTTATAATACTCGCCCTAAAGGATGTTACGCGTCCTCTCTCTTTCCTTGTCTAAGGCAAGGATACTGGCGAGTTGTACCCATGTAGAAGCTATTCCCGGAATATTCCGACAGTGCAATCTTTGCATTGAAGTAAATTTTCAACATTTTAAACAATTATTGTAAACCATAATTTATTTTTTAATAAAGCAAAATTAATAAGTAAACAGTGATTTGATTATTGCGGAGAATAAAAGTACCAAACAGTTTTTTTCTCTACAGCCCAAATGGCTCATTTGCGGACATATGTTTTTATAAACAAAAAAGCTTATTTTGATGTCCCTTACTACCCCTTCAAGTTTGTCGGTATTTTTTTGGGACACCCTGTATGTACAGGTATTTACCGGTATACAAGGTATATACTACAGGTATAGGTACGAAAAAGTGAAAAAATATCTTAAATTGATAAATATGTAGGTAAAAATATTAACTTTTCATCTCGTAGAAAAAATAGTGTTACTAACTCGTGCAGAAAATCTCTTTTCCGCACTTTCCGCACTAGTTTGGAAATATACTATATCCTACAGCCGTGCGGAAAATGAGTTTTCCCGCACGCATATCAGTGCGGAAAAAGTTTTTCCGCACGGCTCTCAGTGCGGATTTTTTTTTCCGCACGGCTGTCAAAAAAAAAAGAAAAATTCTACATTTTTACGCCTGTAGGAAAAATATTGTACCTAACACTTGCGGAAAAAATCATTTTCCTACGAGCGTGCGGAAAACGCGTTTTCACGCACTGATTTGCGTGCGGAAAGTACCACTTTTCCGCACTGCGTGCGTGAAAAATTTTTTACCGCACAAAGTGCGCGAAAAAAATTTTTCACGCACGCTGTGCCCGAGAAAAGTTTTTCACACACTTATTTATTTATTTTTTTTTCAATTTTTCTCTACATGTCATGCTATGCTTCTCAAAAATTTTTTCGTTTTTTCTCTTCAAGAAAGCTATTAGGTTTTTGTACTGACCAATATCGACCTTTTTAACGAGTTGTATACCATAAATAATTAATCAGAACCGATCCTAGGGTGTCGGCCGCCCGCGTGCTAAGCGCAATTTTGCCGCCCCATAGGGATAGCCCTCCATACGTTCCTTACGTAGGAGGCGCCGATGGTGGTAACCCGCCGCAGGCGCCACCGGAGGCAGAAAGAATTTTTTTGGGTGCCACGCCCAAAAGCATTTGTTTCAAACCTCAAAATGAACGTTTTTGGGCATTTCGAGTTAAAAAAAAACCTTGTTTGGAACATATTTGTTTTCTACGAGTTGTTCGAATGCTGTCAATAATGACAAATACTATCCTAAAACTAAGTAGGGTTGGGCCTGGGTACGAAAATGAAAAATAAGGCTCCATGGCCGTTTGCACCGACCATTTTAAGGAAACCTTAACGATAAGTACGTGTTCCTTAAAATGACATTTTTACATGGAGAAACGTCACTTTAAGAAACACTTATTGCTAAGGCTTCCTCAAAATGGTCGGTGCAAACGGCCATCAGTGAAAAATTAAGACACCCCAGTCCCTAGTCGTAATATATACTTGCCTACAAACATACCCACCTGCACTTGGAAGTCTTTGGTACCCAAAAAGTTGGTAACATTGTTAGTTAGCGGCAGTATTCACCTAGTTCTGTTGGACGGTTAGTAATTATTCTTGCAGAATTAGGTGAATGGGGAACAAAAATAAAAATTTTGAAAAAACAAAGCAGAAGTATTTAGAAAATATAAAAAAATTTGCGATCCAATGATGGATGTGTAAAGAGTTAAAATATTATGCGTGAGCCTACACACTGACTGCACTGAACTTTCTATTTAAGCTATCGGGAGATCGGAGTTCAGATTATTTCTTTGTTAGAAGTAGTTTTATTTTGAGAAATTCGTGAAAAGTTTTACTACTGCTTGAATCTTGAATGACAGAACTACTGGCGGCTTGCGGCCGCCCCTAAATTTGGCCGCCCGCGTGCGGGGTACGCGCTGCACACCTGCTAGGATCGGCCCTGTAATTAATTCTACTTATAATAAAAATAATTGTTAATGTTCTGTTGTTAAAATCATTGCGTTACTAAACTTAATTAAAAAATCATATTTTAGACTATTTCTCTTATCAGTAGAGTCAAAAACAAACAAAAAAAACAATATGTCAATTTCCGCACGCTTGTAGGAAAAATGTTGTACCTAACACGAGCGTAAAGTATCTTTTCCGCACTTACGGCTTGCACGAACTCCGCTGGCGCGTCGTTCGTGCAAACGCCATTACGTGCGGAAAAGTATAACTTTCCGCACTTTTTAGGTAAATAACTATTTCCGCACTTGTTAGGTAAATAGCTATTTTCACTCTAAAAAACAGAGCGTTGAAAAACGCGCATTTTTAAACTCAGAGTTACTTTCCAGTGACGCATTTTAAGCACTTCTGAGCTGCTCTAGAGCGCCCCGGGCTGTTTATAGGCGTTCTAGTGCATTAGAGTCTCGTGCCACTGAACTGTTCGTTTTTCCTCTCCCCTGCCCTCTCAGGCACTTGCAATTTGATTGGTGCATCAAAAACACGACGCTTAAAGTGGGGTGCGTTCCAGTGACACAACACCCACATAACACAATACCATCCTATAGATATCCATAGAATATCCGCAAAGGATATAGTATTTATCCTAGGGATATCCTAAAATCAGAGAGGGATATTCATGGGATATCCAGATGACACTAAAATAGATATCTTCATGACATCCCGTGACAACCTTTTTAGGATTATTCGGGATATTTTTAGGATAATATAGGGATGACTTTGGGCGCATTATAGAATATTTTCAGGATATTCTGCTAGGACTATTATTAGACAATTATTATTATTGTAGGGGAGCTATTCATTTGGAATCCGTAAAAATCATTCACATTAGAATTTGCGTCATTTACGGCCAACTTCATAATCAACTTAAAGTGGACTTTAAATTTAAAGCTCTTTTAAAGTTGAAAATCAAAACGGATTTTCAACTTTTAAGGGAGCTTTAAATTTAAAGTTCACTTTAAGTTGATTATGAAATTGGCTGTTAGGCGTTACGTCTGAATGTATCCTTCTTGAAAATATGTCAAAATGATGCAAATTCAAGTGTGAAAGATTTGCACTCAATTCAAATAAAGCTCCCTAGAGTCTGGTGAAAAAATCATGGAAAACTTAATAAGAAAATAAATATGTCAGTATTGAGCATTTGTAAGTATTAAAGTTGCTGCTAAATTAAAAATTTTATATTTTTTTTACGACAATCCCTAAATTAAATTTTGTAATATTATGCGTACAGAACAGGGTGATTCAACAAATAAGAACAGCAATGCACTTCAAATGGGAAAGTTCAAGTACCAGTAGAGTTCAACTTAACCTCTGTTTGAACCTGGATTGTACAACTGGGCCTAAGCATAATCCTATGGGATTTGCTGGTATGACATGATAATTATCATCTTTCCTGGTTTCAGCTATAATTAAATACAAAGCGTTTTCACGGAGTTGTATCATGAAACCATTTGCTACCGGGTTACTCTCTGGTCTATCATTAACGTCAGTTGAAACCGATCGGTATCAGCAGAACTATCAGAAGGTTGTGAAATGTTTTGGTATTATTTCGGCGTTGTTTGTTGATGTTTGCTCTCAAATTTCGAAATTTTTAATTAAAAATGAACACCAAAGATTTTTTGCAAGTTGTAGCCGTAGCTAAATGGTGATTTTCAGCGATGAGTTTCCTTTTGCTGTGAAGAGAAGGACTTTTTTGGAGACAGGTTTTGAGCATTGTCGAACAATAAACTCACTAAAACTAAATTATGATAACGCAGAACTAAAACCAAATCGACAAAATTCATAATTTCATAAACAAGCCAAAATCTAGCCTCAACGTCTCATACCGCATCTTCATACCATCATCCCGAGATGGTTAGAAGATTGACGGACCGAATTGAAACCAGGTTGTCAAATGACATACCGAAACACTTCGTGAAAACGAGTGGTGTGTTATGGTTCATGATACCACATTCATACCAAAACTCGTGAAAACGCTTATAGAAAAATAAAAATGGTAGGTAGTTACCTCGGTAGGTACCTCTGAGAGGCTTGGATGGAATTGACTCTAATGAGTCGCTACTCTCAATATCATCACTGTCAAACGCTTCATCTTCTTGTGAATATTTTTTGTTATAAATAATTCGTCTACCCTTTGAGGAGCTAGGAGTTTTAGTATTTTCATCACATTCAGTGGATTCATCAACGTCTGTTTTATAGCAAGCTTTGGAGGCAGCCAGAGATGCCTGTGCATAATCATCTAAAAATTTACCAACCTATTTTAAAAACATAAAGCAAAATCTTTTTTTCAGTTACAGTTGCCAGAAAAATTGTGAAGGCAGTTTCAATTTATTTTATATAAAAACCAGTCAATTTTATGGAAAAATAAGTGGATGGTGGCCAGAACATTGTAATAAAATACTGCCAACATAAACAAAACACAGTTCTACTTTGGTCTGGCTTGCAGTAACTTACTAGTGTGAATAACAAACATGTGTAACATGTGTAAAAAGCATATTTGCTGCACTCAGCATGATTGCGACTCTTGAGTTAGGCTCGAGCTGAAAACTTCATGCAGCTTGCAACAAAATAGACTTTTTGCCCTAGTTACACAAATAACTATTTAAACGTACTCACCATAAATTTTATTCTTTTTAATAATACGGATACGGACCACATCCCATTTGTCCTTTTCTGGCATGGAACAGCCCTTAATTAATGGCAGTATGCCACTAGCTTTTTTCTGGTTAGGCCAGTAACCCAGATTATTATTAATGACCCAACATTTTGGAAAGACCTCCACCCTCTCTTCTTCCACAAACATAACTATATGCCATGCCAATACCATGATATTGCTAAAAAAGATACCTAGTAATAAACTTCTCACCTACAGAAGATACATACCCAATACCAGTAGTTATCAATTTATATCACAAGTAAAAATTATACCAGCATCAGGACAGTGTGTGAAACCTTGTGAAACTAGATGAAAATGAATTGGCAATGCTATTTTTTATTTGAAGACGTTTGAATTGGTGGAATAAAAAGCTTTCCTTTTCTGATACCTACTTAGAGCCTAATATGTACATGGAAAAAAATACTCAAACTTGAAAAATAGCTGGATTAGGCTGAAACTATTTAACTCAATACTTTAACAGCGCTTTAAAAAACCTGAAATACCCAATAACAATATAAAAGGACAAAAGACAAAACATTAAAACATAAATCAGTGTATTATATCTGTATTAATATTAAAGTTGAAATGGTACAAAGAATTTTATCAAAACCATGCCAGAGAACCAAAAAAGCAAAAATTGTAAAACGAGTTGTAAAAACACCCATTACTTATTTATAGCTGCTTTCCGCTATATTTGTTTGTTTGTACCTATACAGCTTGCTATACAGGGTGTTTGGTGCATCGTTTGCCAAATTCAACTGGCCAAAAGACGGGGCCATTTAGAGAACTTTTTGAGAGAATTCGAAGATCACGATCGACTTTAGTTTTTTTTTTTCATTGCATTGCAAATTTCACTTTTCAATTTATTTTTACCTGTTTCAAAAATTTTATTAGTTAATAATAAAAAGACTAGAAGCTATTGGCAAGTAATTTTGTATTTGGTGGAACCTTACCATAGTACATATTAAAATAAAACTCAAATTTGGAAGCTAGGCCAACAACTTCTTTTTTAATTTAAGTTTAAACGGCGAATTTTGAGATTCAAAAAAAAAAAAATAGAAAAAATCAAATTAAAAAAAAAAAACCCGTGGGGTCACGGATGAGTTATTATGGCTGAAGAGTACCTAAGCAAATGGCCCCGTCTTCCAGCCAGTTGAATTTGGCAAACGATGCACCAAACTCCCTGTATAAATAGCTATGAATACTAAATTGATTTTAGATTGTCTTAAATATGCAATAAAGGAAAAACAATGAATTTGTTTTTAGAAATAGGCAGTTTGACATACTTTAATTTTATTTCACTTAATTGCCAAATTTCTAAATTATCATCCAATTCTGAGACTTCAAGAACTCCAAGATCTGAAGAGGGACATGGTTTTTCATAAAAATCACCAATATTTTTAAATTTTCTTCCTACTATCCTAACTTCGTTTTTAAGGCTTGTAACAAAATTTTCAAAATTGATAATGTTACCATTTGCTAAACCACAACAATTATCAGGTGATATTATTTTCACTGTAAAATTTGGGAAGAAATGTTCAATATATTGTGGATTATAGTAGCCATTAGGAAGAGGTCCTGAGGCATGAGTTCTTGGTTGATTATGTTTATTTTTGAGACAGGGGATTCTTAATTCAACATTCTCGATTTCACTTATCCGATTAATTACTTGTTTTAGGGGTTTATCAGATTTCCTTATTAATTTCTTTAAAACTTGTAAAAAGTTCTCAAACTGAAAGGCGCTAAATTTGTTCAAATTTCCAAAATGTCGACAATCATCAGTCAAGTGCAACAAATTATGAATGTTATGTGACATATATTGAACAGAATAAAGAACGGGAAACTTTTTAACAAAATATTCCAAGAGACTCTCTGCATAGACTAATTTATCTTCGGTTAGTTCTGAACTAGATAATATAAATACTGCTGTATGTAAAACCATAAAGTGTTGATAATATTTTTTTTCCAAACTACTTTTGGTTACCAATGGTCCTGTATATAACAAAAATTGCCGGAATTCAGTAGCCTTCCATCTTTTAACTTCATTCAAACCCCTTGGTTTCCTACAAAATTCTCATGGGATGTGCTTTCTTAATTGCAATAAACTTTCTGACATGACTGATAAATTTCTACTTGATAACTTATAAGGAGGTTTTCCTTCACACCACAATGCTACGAGAAGTTTTTTCATAACACCCAAAAATATTAGGTGCATAGGATCTAACGGAAATGAGGAAACTAATCCAAAATTTGGTAAATTAGTGAGAATAGAGGTTCCTGTGTGATGCTCCTCGTGACGTAATAGCAAAAAATCTTCATCTGAACGTTTAATAAATTCTATATCAGTAAAACATATACGGTTATTTATATAGGATCCTTCCTGACAACATTTGGTACATGAATTATAGGCGTTATGACCTTTAGTATACCTAACAAAAGATTTTGCAGGAGCATCACATAAAAAACCTTTAATTTTGAAGGGAATAATATTGTTCATGAAACAAACCCCATTATTAGAAAGACCGATAGCTTCTTCAACAAATTCTTTCAATAAATTATTGGAGTCTTTAGGTTTTTCGTACCCATGATAAAGTCCAACAACAGTCACAAGATCTGAATCATGAAGAGAAATCAATATTGGGTACAATTGACTCCCAGAACTTTTGCTTATAGGCAAACCATCTACATTCACCAATATTTCACAGGATATGATTTGTTTGGAAATTGTTTTATAATGCCTTTGAAGAAGTTTGATAAACTGCTTTTCTATGCCAAAGTAATAAAACTCACCAGGATCCATCAACCTGGTCAAAGTGTTTCTAGGTGTTTTTAATAAGGTTCTAGCATCCAATGGTAAATTTGGAAAATGTGGTTTTAAAATTTTCAACAGATTAGATAATGCCATGTTATTTACTTTATTTGAGAGAGCCCATTGCTGCAGTTGCTGTGGCATATCAGTGCTTTCGTTCTGGGAGGACATGCAAGCAGGCTCATTAGTGCTTTCGTCGCTTTCGAGAATAATTGGGTCTTCACTGGAGTCATTTTCAGACTCTATTTCAGTATTATCATTATTACTAAGTAACTCAAATGGCACTTCTAATGGCTCACAACTATTAGGAATGGTGATTGCAGTAGCTTCATCACATACGCTAATTAAAGAAGGGTTTAACTTTGAAACTACTGGATGGGGGCCACATTCAATCGAGCATTAAGCATGGTTCTCCAAACTTGATGACCCAGCAGTCTCTTGACTTGCACTTCCTGCAACTATTGGCACTATATCGTCCCTAACATTAAATTTAGAAGTACTGGCAGTCGCACGAGAAGTCACATTTAAAGAATCTTGTCTCAGAGTCCGGTAAAAAGAAGACTTACTTTTTTTAAATTTGGGCATTTTGTGAATTAGATTTAGGTAGGCTTTCTTTATAATATCAATGTTCTAACTTTTAATTAACACTATTTACTTACAGTATTATAGAATACAGCACAGCACACAGCCCGAGAAACACAAACAAGAAACACAAACACGTAAAAACTTTGAACTCAAAATTAGTTAATAAATATCGAGTTAAATAAAATTCAAATATTCCACACCACAGCTAAAAACTTCGTAGTCGACTTTGTAGTTCCTAGAAAAGAAAAAAAATTACTTTAAACTTGAATTTCCACCGAAAACAACGAATTTACAAAACACGGCGTCCGTCCACCATTTGCAATTACAATCAATGCCGCATGCCGCCGGCCTGGCCGTTGACATGACATATAGCGATTTATATTGAAGGGGCTAGTGCACACGGAGTGTATTCGTGTCTTTTTCTAACAGCTTGTATAAGAAAGAGATGAAAATACATTTTTCCTGCACGGGTTCTACCAATAAAATTGACTAGTTTTGGAGCGGGGAGCGGCCAAGCGCGCCAAGGCAAATATGTCAAGCTTGGATTGTGGGAAATTATTTACGCGGGTAATTTGAAATTGAAAGTGGGACTCATGGGAGTGACTAACGCAATAGGCAAAAAAAAATCCATAAGATATTAACAGGATATCTTGTGTTTACTCGATGCCAAGTAAAAGCTGACGAAGGAAATAAAAATACTATGTTTTAAGATATAATTATAGGAAATGGTTTCACAGTTTTACAAATTACGCAACATAAAAAGTCGTACATAATTACTTTTTTTTCAAATATCGCAGCGATGTCGTAAGGATATTTAATTTTATCGAGCACCCCTATTTATCTTAGCTAGATATCCATAAGATATATGACTAAGATATCTACAGAACATCCTGTTCTAAGACATCTACTGGATTTTAGGATGTCTAGAGAATAACCTATAGATATCGTTAGCAGGATGATCTTGTAGTGGGATATTCCGACTTTCCTAGAATATCCTGGGGATGTTATGTGTTGTGTGGGCAGTTATTTGGAGCACCAGAGTGTGAAGCTACGGGTGTGGAGTACCTTAAAAATTCGACAATGGAAAGCGGCTCTGCTAGGCTACACCAAGGATATTACACACTACTACAAGATTGCTCATCAGCCTCGATTTTTGGAATCAAGTTCATCTGGCGTTGCACCGTTGCCGACGTCATCAACGGTGTCGTTAGCGGTTTGCGTCAGCGGTCGTGGTTAGGAATAAACATTTATGATGAAAAATATTATTTAATTTTTTTTAAAATAATAGCCAAAGAGGTAGATGCAAACAAGATCTAAATAAAGGTTCTCTTTAGAATGTTGAATAATGTACTAAAAACCAAATATGCATAAAACAAAAATAAGGGCAATCTAACCTGTGGTGCAAACACCTTACGGGCCGGTTTCTCAATAGCGAGTCACCTCCGGGTTAAGCATAACTCCAGGGTAAACATAGCAACTGGACACGTGTACCCTGGAGTTAAAACTAACCCGGAGGTCACTTGCTATTGAGAAACTGGCCCTACGTCAAGAAACGACACGCTGACTACGTCATCACTGTAATTTGACGTGGTGGAGGGCTTCAGATTTTTATTTATTTTTATAATAATAATATTTAATATTTATTTGAAAGTCTATTCAAATGGAAATTTCCCTTGTGCATATTTAACTGGAAATTTACCTCGTAATTTTCAAAAATTGACAAGTGGAAATATCCCTGGGCTGCGTTCAGGAATGGCTACAGCCAAGCCAAAATTGGCATTTTGCGTTCAAGTTCGGCTTCAACCTACGTAGTTCGGCATTACCGTGGAGGGGGAAAAGTAGGTTTTGGCTTTAGCATTGCCGTCCCTGAACGCACCCCAGGTGAGAGGGATATTTCCGGGTGCAATTTCCAATGCGACAATGCCGCGCGGCGTCTGTCGGAAACCCACCTTTAGGTTGTCATTTTTGGCATTGAGACCAGCTTTTCCATTTAAAATGCATTGATGTCAGAAATCTGACAAAGTGTATATTTTTTGACAAACGCAATTTAAATGGGAAATATCAATAACAATCACCATCACAGAACACATCATCATAATTAAAATATTCGCCACAACTTATAATAAATAAACTTCAAACTCGGGAAATTTCCTATCAAAATATAACACGTGCATAAAATATTTCCTAAGGGAAATTTTTAAAAATTTGGTCTTTAGTCAATTTTTTTAAACAAAACCATTCGTGCATAGCGCCAAAGAAAAAATCCCTCACCCTTCGGGTTCGGGATTTTTTCAGGCGCTATGCACTCATGATTTTGTCAAAAAATTGGCTTCAGACAAAATTTTCAAAAATTTCCGGAAATATTTTATGCACTAGTTATATTTCTACTGGCAATACACCACTTGCAGAAGAATATGGATGGTGCCTTAGAGCAGGAAAAGCGCTGTCCTACGGACATAAGGAGTAGGAACGCGTCATTCTGCTATGAAACTGGAGTGCCAGTTTTAAATAGGTATTTGTACACCAAGTGACAGGTAAAGCATTGAATTAGCCTAAGGAATTAGCTATACCGCCATTATTTTGGATCTCAAAATACCTGAAAAAAAACAGCTTTATTAAGCCTAGTACTCTCAACTGCGAAAACCGCACTTTTTGACATTGCTTCACGTTTGATTCACGCATAAAACGTCAAATTGTCGAAGCAATGTCAAAAAAATGTGAATTTCGCAGTTATAAGTACAAGGCTTTATCCAACTCCATGTTCCTACTCCTCGCACCTAGGAAATTACCTGCTATAAGCAAGGTGCCATTGATGACGCAAGGGTAAAGTTAAAAAATACAAAGTGTAATTAACTGACCGGAGAACACAAAAATTTATCTATTATTAATTATAAAAGTTGTTGCAGATAGACAGAGAAATCTACTGAAAAATAAACCACAAATTACAGAAATATATATTTTTCTGTTAGATATTTGTGAAAAACTATACCGGAACGAACCGTTAAAACCGAAATTATTGGTCTAACCCGGATCGAAATATTTTTCTGAGAACCGGAACCGTAACGAAAACGATATTTAACCGAATTTTTGCGACGAACTACTCCCATGATTTCATGAACAAAAACGCTTTCGCGTGAAACTCATGACGCATGACGTCATATTGCTTCTAACTAGCGTTCAAACTCATGACGTCACAGATGAACTATGGTTCGCCCTTTTCCTTGTCTGAAGATGAACTACATTCGTCGCGAAAATTCGGTTTTTGTCATGACGCTGTGGACCGGAACCGGAACGGAACCGATATTTAATTTCGGTCCGGGTCCCTGCATTTGAGTCGCTCAAGAGATTACGATTTTTTCGCACACTAATATGCGTACGGCCAACGGTACACATAAAGAAAAACTTTTAGGAGGGGGTAACTTCAAAGTTAACACTTGGCTGCGCTGGCTCAATGCACTGTCCATTTTTCCAGGTTTTTTAGCTCACGGGGCGACCTTCCAACCACTTGTGATTCTTGTGAATTGTGATGGATTGCAATCTTATGTGTAGGTATTTGAATTCCGAGTACCTAATTGGTTTAATAAAAGTTTAAATATTTGTGTTTTGCAGGCGCGGCTCCTCTGTAAGGTCATTCGGTCAATGACCCACCAAAAAATCAAACAATAAATTTTCAATTAAACATCTTGAATATTACGTTTTAAATTATTCAACATCACGCTCAACAGAAATCGAAGATTCTTTTTTGCGCATATTGGGTACCCGCCTTTTAAAATTGCAAAATACAGGCCTAGCTGCGCTCGGCCGTATTAAAAATTGGGCTTATAGCTTTGGAATGATCATAGGCGAATGCAATAGGAATCAAAGAGAGAGAGACATAACGGGCGTGAATGAGTAAGATAAAGAGGCACATTTGCTTTCATATGTTCCATCACGTCGACGGCCGGCAGCGGCGCCAGATCCTCGATCGATCGATATAGGTATTTATCGGAATGGAAAAAGAGCGCTCAGAATTCGACGATTTTATTGTCGTTTTTCAATCGCGTTTATTGAAGAAAGATGAAAAACAAATGTACTAGAGTGTTGGGGTGTCCAGAGTTATTTTTCTTAAAACACTTACTGAAATGTCATTGTGCATATTGCTTTTGTTTTGATTCAATTTTTTTAGTAATCTGTCCTGAATCTTTCTTTAATCGCTTCACAAAAATGGTTTCCCTTGTCCAGGAATTTTTTTTTTTAATTTCCAGTGGGGGATTGACTTTTGAAAAACGGTTGGAATTAAAGAAAAGTGGTCGTCCAAAACCAAAGCTTGATATATGCCAAACTACGAAAGAGCAGTCTAGGTTGCAGTGCATTGGCTATGCTCAGTATTGAGAAGGCATTTATCAAAAAATTCAACTTCAATGAACTAGTTATTGACCACATTGCTCATCAGAACGATAGGAGAATTGATTGTTGTTCAAACGTGTCTAAATTTGGGACTCAGTCGACTTAAACAATAAACATTAGACCCACCTGAAGTAAGTTATTTTTTCTATTTAAAATGTAGGGATGGGTCTAATTAACTAATTGTTGTATTTTCTTTATCAATTAAATATTTACTGCACGAATTCTAAAAAGGTTTCTAACCTGGGCTGCGTTCAGGAATGGCTACAGCCAAGCCAAAATTGGCATTTTGCGTTCGAGTTTGGGTCCGACCTACGTAGTTCGGCATTACCGGTGGAGGGGGAAAAGTAAGTTTTGGCATAAGCATTGCCGTCTTTGAACACACCCCTGTTGTTTTCTACTTGACGTAAGACATAAAGACATAACCTGAAATTAGGAGCAAGGATATTACACCTCTCCTCCGCTAACTAACCCAACATCTACGTCATCAATTGTCAAATTTCAAAATAACCATAAATGAGCGCGAAATTCAAATATTCAAATTTAAATTCCTACAAAAAGACGAAAACTGAAGCCAAAAAATTTAGTTTAATACCAAAAATGTTTCGCCTAAGGAG